AGAAAAACTTCAAGTGCCTGGCCGATCTCCTTACTAGTTGTGTGACCCTGGGCAAGTCACTTAATATTCGATTGCTTCAGTTTCTTCGTTCTAAAAGGGAGGATGATAGCACCTACCCTTCTGGATTATTGTGAAGATCAAATGAGATAATATTTGAAAAAGCACAAAAAAGGGCAAAATAAAACAATAAAAATGCAGAACTTGGTCTTCTGACTCTAAATACAGGACTCTTCCTGCCATGTTATGCTGCCTCAAGCTATGTGGAATCTAATTCCAAAGCCTGGCTCTGACACTTAATCCTTTTGGAGTAACCTTGAGTGACTCCCTTAACATCTCTGGTTCTTGCTTTCCTCCACGGTAAACTGAGGAGGGTATAAAAGTAAATAAGAGAGTGGGCTCAATGACTTCCAAAGTCCAATCCAGTTCACAATTTATGATCCCATGATCTCTAACAAGTCAGGATGGCAGAATGGATAAAGAGGTGGCCTTGGAGTCAGGGAAAAAAAAAACTTGGTTCACACTCCTCCCCTGTCAGATATAGACTAGTATGAATCCACCATGGGTAAGTCATTTAACAATTTAGTTCTGCAGGCAAGCACCTCTCTAAGACTATAACTTACAGTTGATTTTCCAAGTGGCATCATTGGTGAAAGAACTTCCTAAACTGATGAAATCTCATGTCCAGAACGCCAACCTCCCAATCTGCCCTCCCCAAATAAAAATAATTTAAAATTACATTTTTGGAAAAACGAGAAGAGAAAAAGAATATTTAGTAAATAGAAAATGTGCTGACCAATCTATAGATTTGGGCTTTGGAATTCATGGTTCTGGGCTGAAATTCTTTAAGTACAAAATCTCATGAATAATGGATGCTTCCAGGAATTTTAAAGCTAGAATGCTCTGTAGTCAGCCTGAGAAAACAATATCAATGCACTATTTTGAAGAAGAATAAATACTTTTGGAAATAATGGACACTTTCTTTTAACCATGACAGATAATATATTTCAATTTATTTCCAAGTAAACTAAGTGTTACACATTGTATTAGTACAAAGAATTACACAAAAAATTAAATATATTGTAAAACATCCCCAAAAGGTGCAGAATGTTAAACTATATGATTTTAATTAAGAATCCTTTGGATTTTGAAAGCCACTTAACTCCCTATGTAAAATCTGGTACCACATTCACTGCCAAGAAAGCATATTCTGTACAGAATGAGATCATCATTCCACCTGAACACAGAATGCACATTTCCCAAGCATATGTATATTCACCAACTTGTTAATTTATTTTAGTAACCACTAAATGTCAAACATTATCCATATAGGCTATTGACACATTAATGTTTGCATTAAACAAGGAGGATCCCTTTCCTCATTACAATTTTTAGATAAGAGATCTGTCAAATAAATTACTTCAAAGTAGCTCAAGCCAGACCTCACTACACTTGTATCATATAATCAAGGAGCAAATAACCTTTAAAACAGAAGACAAATGATGAAAATTAAAGACATTTAATTTGCATAAGTGTAACGTTAACAGTCTTCTCCTTATTACATATTTTATGCTTAATTTGTAAGTGTCACCATATTATGTCCTAAATACTCTTATAGGTCAGTTTTAATTTTTTTTTCTTCTGATTTTGCTTCCCTCTAATGTTTGATAGGAAAGTGGTATATCATTTGGGGAAGGAGAGAGAAAAAAAAAAGGTAAGGTTATCTCAAAAATTCTGTGGATATGTACCCATTACATAGGACATACAAAATTACAGTTGAAATTACGTCAATGCAAGATGTATAGGCAATATTTAATAGGACAGATATGTGCCTAAAATGAAAGCAGAGCTGTCCGCCCTCTCAGGACTCAGTTCTACTGAAATGTTATTTCCCCTTCAATACGTCAAAGTCCTGTTCACTTCATGAAGACCCAATGGCATGGAATAGAAGCAATATACCGGGAGGATGATTTGCTTCTCTATTCCTAAAGCTTGCTAAAAGAGCTCATTCATTTTGGTCTGCTTTTACTTCAAACATAATTAATACAGGATCTGGGACACTGGCTTAGTTTATTTTTTAATACCTTCTACTTTCTTCTGCAAAGATGGAAGACACTCACAAATACAATTGCTCTGTCAACACTTGGATCATGTTTAATAAACAAAACAGAACAAACCAACCTAGATCCCAACTCCAATGATTTTGGTGGGCTCCATGAGGTATAATCACTATTCCACCAGATAATGCTTTCCATATTATGCACTCACTAGAGGACATAGTCACCTAAGTTGGAAAACATTACTTTATAAGTTAAAGAGACTCTCCAGGGACCTTTCTGAATCTTTCATTGATGAATCCATTCCAGCACATACCCTCATCCTTCATTTCTATCATATTCCCTCAATTGGAAGAGTCAATTAATCAACAAACATATATTGAAAAATTCAACAGGAAAAGATAGAATTAAGCTTTTTCTCTTAAAGCAAACAAATTCTATTTCCAAAGACTTCAGCTTTGCATGGAGCTTTATAGGATGAAGGATCTTGGTTGGCTTCACTCAAACTAGAGATTCAAGGATTTAGGTCATCTGGGACAAAGTGATTTTTCATTTCTGGAAACATGTACAAATCAATGTTTCCAACTCACCCTTACATTATATATAGGTCTATTTCCTAGATAAGATAATGAAAAGTTCATGTCTATTATTCTCTTCCCCTGGAATACATAGTTTGGTGAGACTAAAATATAGTGCCATCTGAATGGGCATCACATCATTTTGTAGATAAGTTCTGATGAATCAGATGGTGGGAACTCGAATTTACTTTTGTAGCAGCTCACAAAGCTTACTTCATGATGCTTTTTTGCCTAAATATGCATTCTTTTACTTTTATACACAAGCTGCTCCTTAATTATCTTACTTAAAATTATTAGAAATGTGCTAAGCCACTAAGTTCTCTCTAAGAAGGTTGGATCTCCAAAAGCTTTCAATTGTGACTGTTTCTACACCTGCTACCTTTCTAAATGAATATGATTCTTACATAATCCAATATGCTAGATAGAAATGTGAGGCTCTATATACATACATATGAGTGAATATATATTCAAAATATGAATAATTTATGTAGCTCAGTTTAGCTTAGAATAGGTATTTGCCCATTATCCTTTCAGCTCTGTGGATTTGCAAGGCATCATAATACCAAGTTCCCTTTGAAGACAAGAAAAAAAAATACTGTGATGTTGACTGCTCTTGGGAAATAGAAAAGTTCCCTATGGGGTCCTTTGTCACAAACTCTCATATATGTAAGACTTACAGATATCCTTAAAGTGAAAGAAGAAATAATTAATATGCAACTAACTAGTTATATGATCTCTGAAAAGTCACATCAGCTCTGTGGGTTTCAATTTCTTTATCTATCAAACTCCACACAGATGATACTTACGGTCCTTTCAATGTACAAATATAATCTGATGGTAGTATTCTTGCTTCCAGAGGCTTTATCAGTGCCAAAAGATTAGGTGTGGAATGTCCACATTCTTTGGTGCTGACCAAACTAAATCTAGGCAGCGTGGCATGGTAGAGACTAAGCTAGATTTTGAATCAGGAAGACCTAGGTTTGAATCCTACTCCTGACATATACTAGCTATGTGATCATGGTTATGGCACTTTATTCTTCTGAGCCTCAGTTTCCTCATCTGTAATACTGGGTTAATATTACCTATACCTCAGGATCACTGTGAGGCTCAAATGAGAGCATGTTATGCACAACACTTTGCAAACTTGAAAGTATTATATAAAAGTCAGAAATTATTATATTATACAACAATATGGCCCCAACTGTAACTTTCAGGACTGAAGATCCTGGGTATCTCTTTAATGCCCACAATAAAAATGAAGTCACCTAGGCCATAAACTTGATCCCATAACTTCACATGCCTTCACGTAACTACGTATACTTCTCAAGAGCTCAACATATCCAAACTGTACTAGATATTGAGTGAGGGTAGGGAGACTGAGGGGACTTTTTGGTTATTCATTCTTTGCTCTCATTAAATTTCAGTGGCTTTCACAGTTGGAGGGAGCATTCATGCTTCATACAATCACAGGATCATAGATACTGAGCTAGAAGGAACCTCAGAGACGATTTATTCCAACCCCTTCCTTTTACAGATGAGAAAACTGAGGCTCAAAGGGGTTACATGAGTTGTTCAAGGTCACACAGGTTTAGTAAGGAGCAGAGGTGAAAACTGACCCCAGGTCCTCCAGTCCCTTCCAACACTAAAAATCTATGTTCTACATCAATAGATATAAGCTTTGGTTAACTAAGCTTTGGTTGTTGTTGTTGAGTTGTTTCGGTCATGTCTGACTCTCTGTGACCCCATTTGGGGTTTTCTTGGCAACGATACTGGAGTGGGTTGCCATTTCCTTCTCCAGCTCATTTTAAAGATGAGGGAACTGAGGCAAACAGGGTTAAGTGACGTGCCCAAGGTCACACAGCTAGTAAGTGTCTGAGGGTGGATTTGAACTCATGAAGATGAGTCTTCCTGACTCCAGGCCCAGGGCTATATCCACTGCACCACTTAGCTGCCTCCCTGGTTAACTATACAGATAACAAAAGTTGATTTTACATATTTGCTGCTGTCAAATGGTTTTGTTCTTTTTGGGGAGGGGGGAGGCACTTATTTGAAACTGCTACATATGGCCTATAGAGCTTCTTATAGTTTTACAGGGGACAGGAAAGGGCTCCTAATGAGTTATTCCAAGAGAAACATGTACCTATACTTTGCAAATTAACTTTTAATAAAACAGAATTAAAACAACATACAAAATGAAAGCAACAGGCCAAGATTTCAGATTAATCTTTCAAAATGTTATACTTAAAACACACATAAATTCTCTATGAAAATACTGCTATAGACCAACCAACCCTATGGGCCCGCTCAGCATTAGGAGAACAGAGAGTAAAAAAAAACAACTTTTTGGTGAATAGAGAACAGTAGCCACTCAGTTACAGAATCTATTTATTACATTTGGTATAAATGTGTTGCCTGCAGGAGTTCAATAACAACAATAACAAAACATCACGTAAAAATGCCATGACTTGGTTGATCCTGGGGGGTTCTCAGAGAGAAGAGAGGAGCTGTAACACATTGGGCTCAGACTTCACTGTGGTCACTGAATTTGCTCGAATTCTGAAACAAAAGAAATATCAAAGAACAAATACCGGCAGCATCGCAAGGGAAATAGCGACCCAAACAGAAGTCCTGCCAAAAAAATGAAATGAGAAATTCTCTCTCTCAGTAGGTCCACACTCTTACATCTGCAAAGACCACAGGGGCAGGTACCTAGGGGACCAGATGATATTACAGGGATAGAGAAAGGGAGCCAAAGATGAAAGAGAGTGTCTGTCATGAATCAAATTCCTAGCACACATACAAACAGAGCTAGAGCAGGCCTTAGAGGCCGTATCATCCAAATCCTCCAATTTTCAGATGAGGAAGCTGAGGACCAGATAAATTAAGCAGCGGGCCCAAGATTACTCAAGAAGTACATGACATGGCTGCGATTCAGACCTAGGTCCAACTCCAGAGCTCTTTACCAGTGCACCAAGATGAAATCATGAAGTACTAGATTACTCAGGGTCTCAACTACTCCTCAAGCCAGGGTGGGTGGGATTTGGCACACTTAGTACATTTAAAGGTACAGTTCCAAGAGGGAGCCATGTTCTGTACGTAGCAGTTGCCAAAGACAGCTATATGAGTTTGGAAGTAGAAGTGTAATAGTGGGAGAATGAAAAGTCATATTTAGAGTTTGGCATTCATACATTGGCCAGCCAAGGAAGAGATATTTGATTTAAGCAGCAGGTGTGGAGCTTTGCATCTTATAAGTACATAATAAATATTATGATTAGGTCTTATGGATTAGGGAAACCATTATTTAACACTGGACTCTAAACAGCCAGGAAAGCGGTGACCAGATTTGTAGAAAGAGTATCTGACACACAGATCTTCGATATGTTTTTAAGATCCAAATAATGCCTGTGGGCAAATCCAAAAATTTGGCTATTTAGCATATTCTACAAATATTCCTAAACATCTTCCCCTTTAAACTCACCTTATTTAAGTGAATGGCACCAACTGCAGCAGATACTGATTCAAAGAAAATGTGTTTATCTGACTCTAGGTGTCCACAATATTGCACTGCTTTTTTCAAGGAAGCTGAAACAGAGAATGAATATTAAATGCCATGTGATGAATGCTTCCAGTACCACAGTAAATGCATTTACCAAGGATTACTTACCTGTGCAATTTGCTAATAAGAAGTCAACATTTTGGCCTTTGCAATCCGTGTAAGCCTAGATGGATTAAAGTAAGAGATGTCAGTCAACTCAGTGAGGAAGGAGATGGTTTGGAAAAGTTACTATCAGTGTGTCTATGGGAAAGTCACTTCACTTCTCAGTGTCCAGGTCTCCTCACTTGTAAAAGAAGGGTCAATGAGGGAGTTGGACCACATGGCTCTATGATCCGAAATTGTATTAATGAAGTTACACCACCAGAGGGAGCCATTGTATACCCTATTCCTATACACTGATTCATTTTACTGAAGAGACTTAAACAGAAAGGACTAGATTTAATCAAACAAGACATTTATCACTTCTGTAACTATATTTTTCTTACTTCAATGTTTTCCCTTGATTTGGTGTTAATAAACTTAAAATACTGCCTATTTCCCCAATCCAAGTTAAATATTTCTGTCTTACTCTATCTCCTCGGGAAGCACTAAGAATATACAATGAAAACTAAATGATATTTTGTTGCAGAGATTTAAAATTTTACTAATCCTTACTGATTTATTCGAGCACCAAGAAGGATACATGAAGAAAACTAAATAGTTTGAATTGCAGAGATCTAAAATGCAACTAACCCTGCCTGATTTATTTCAGCACCTGAGGCTTTCAAGAAAAAGCTAGATGAACATTGGTTGGTTATGTGGAATTTTTTTAATGGCATAGGTTGGGTCCCTTTTAATTCTTTCACACATTTGCACTCAGAAAGAAAGCCTCATTTCTATTTCTAAGTTTCACTACACATGGTCACAGGAGAGCAAATGGTAAGAGGAAAACTTTAGGCAGATGAAAAACAGTGCTCAAATACCCACTGGATTTGAAAATGTCAGCTCCTCAAAGGAAGAGACTGCTTCGCTTTCACATTTCCACACCGAGTGCAAGAATATGAATATATATATTATATATATATATGCAGCCTGTGCTTAGTGTATATAAGACACTTAATACATGCTTGTCAATTAATAGATTCCCATCCAACTCAAAAATGGAAAACATTTGGATACTTTTGAGTGAGAGGCAGTGTGGTGGAAAGAACTCTAGACTTGAAGTGGGAGAGACTTGGGTTTTAATCCTCCTTCAGACACTTATTATGGAACCATGGGCAAGTCTGAATCTTACTTACCTTCTCTTGTAATATAAGCATATTAGCTGCAGTACCCATTTCACAGGATAGCTGCAAATATTAAATGAGATGATGTGTGGAAAACCCTCTGAAGATATTAAAGAGCTATATAGGATGCTGCCTAATACAATGAAAATAGAGTGTTGGGATTAGATTTGAATCCTGATCCTTCCTTCCTTCCTTCGTTCCTTCCTTCCTATGTACCTTACAGGTACCATGCTGCCAAAGATGATACAAAGTTTAGCTAAGATGATCACTGAAACAAAAAGATTTTGAAACTATCTTTACTAATGCGGAGAAACATTGATTAGAAAGGGAGAAACTAAGCTCAGTCTTGGGACCTGTAAGTAAGTGATGTAAGAATTCAAAGTGATGCTTGGACATTTGGTTTTTCATAATTCCCAATGAAGCATGACAGCAGAGTCACGGCTGGTTTACTGGTGTTGATAAACATAATCTCTACCTCAGTGACCTCCCTGATGCCTACATAGGTGACTAAGTAGAGGTCATCTCACTTCTCCCAGCCAAAAACTCTCAGATGTAATGTTCCTGAACCTGTAAACTACTTAGGAAACAGGTGAGTGAATTAAAAAGTGGAGTGAAGAGAAACTTTCCCATTTTATTCCAGTCACCCTATTTGACAGAGCCTGGGACTACAGGATGTAAGGACTTATGTTTTCTTTATGAGTCATTATTCAGTACCTTCCTTACTTAGGGCTATATTATCCCCATGCTCACAAAGGAAACAAGTAGATAAATCATTATGTTTATAACACCATAGAACAAATCGACATCAGCATTAGTGTGCAGTCACTGCCTTTTCTTTATTCTGGACTGAGAAGAGGAAATGATGAGAACAGATCAAACTACTCTTTACTGAAGTGGTTTCTGCCCTCTTGACAAATGAATTTGATCATGAGAATGACTCAATCAACTGTACAGAGGTTCTCCATTAAGACAAGGAGTTTTGTTTTTTTTTTTTTAAGATTTCATTGAAAATCACTGAAACAGTAACCACAGATAGAGGCCCCTCCTCAACAGTTATATTCAGGAAATGTGTATTTATGAATAATATTTATATATCTAAATATGATCCTACTTGTTATCAAATATTTATTCCACAATGCCTGAAGATCCCATCCTAGGTGCTTTGGGAGATACAGAAGAGACAATAGTTCTTGCTTTCATGAAGCCTACAATCTAGAAGACAGATATACCATTTTGAAAAATGTCCTTTACTCATAATTATTTATGGAGCTTTTTTTTTAGTCACAGATTCTATGTTTTATGAGAGCAAGGAAACTTTCCTACTTCTTAGCAATTCCAATGCCTACTTTCCAAATCCTAGAACAGTAGTGTTAGGAAGCATTTTTTCTCATTTGAATTTCCCATAATACTGAAGAAAGAAGGGACTTCAAAGACAAGCTAGTATCATTTTTTTTCATGACCAGGAATTATGTCCTTGATAAACCTGACCAACTTTAATCCAGCTTCGGCTTAATGACTTTCTATGAGGTCTTCTTCAGAAGAAAGATCATTGCAATTTTGGATAGCTCAATGGCTACGAAGTTCTCTTTTCTGACATTGAACCTAAAATTGCCTTTCTGCAGCTTCTGCCCATTGGTCCTAGTTATGCCTGCTGGAGCTAAACAGAAGTCACACGAAAAGCCTTCCAACACTGGAAGACTGCTGTCATGTTCCCTTTAAGTTTTCTCTTGTTCAGGTGAAGACTTTATAAGCAGGGAAATGACATGGTCAGAACAGAATAATGAGGGGTTTGAAATCACATTACAGGATTGATTTGCTCAAGATCATATAACTAATAAGGCCAGGATAAGAAACCAGATCTTGAGACTTGAGCTCCAAGTCTAGTGATTTCTCTATTACGCGATTGCCACAATGTTGCTATTGTTCAGTCATTATAGTCGTATCCGACTCTTCTCATAACCTTACACGTGGGTCCTCTGTCCAAAGGAATATAAGTTTTGATTACTTATACTTCTTAAGGTATCTTGGAGTTTGGGAGATAGATTTTTTTCTTCCCTACTTATTTATTCCATCATTTTTAATGGGACAATTAACTCTTTTGTTTTCTATAGTTTTATTTATTATTTCTTGAAATATAGCTCTGGAAAACTAGGCTTTGATGAAGTCCACTGGGATTCAAGTAGAGCTACCTGACTATGCCTTTAAACTGTAATCACTCTGGCTTTAGCTGATTGGCCCATAATAGGCCCCAGCCCAAGCCTCATTTGCTCATTGTTTAGGATTTGATGGGTGAGAGTGAGTGTGAACGGCAAATGTTTCTCTTCTGGCCAGAAACTCTGAGGGTCTTTCCCTTCCTGACTGACTCTTTTGTGAAGCCAAAGTAGTCCTCTTTTACCTCAATTCTTACCCAGCCTTAAACTACTGAATGAGAATTGCAAATGGAGGCCTGGGAAAGATTTTAGCTTAAAAAAGCCAAGGTCTCCCACTGCGCCCTAGGCCACAGTCACTTGCCTTGACTTCTGTCTTGCCACTGGATTCCAATGACTCTGGAGGAAAAAGTGGGGCTGACGATGCACAGCTCTGCCTCACTTAAATCCAATTGGCCTGCAAGTCAAAACATCACCCTCCTTCATGTCACGGGTGCTCTTTGAGAATGAAGGACACACAACAACGACGACGACGACAATGACAACAACATCCAACTCGTCGTGACCCTATATGGGGTTTTCTTAGCAAAAATACCGGAGCAATCTGCCATTTCCTTCTCAAGCTCATTTTACAGGTGAGAAAACTGGGGCCAACAAGGTTAAGTGACTTGCCCAGGATCACACAGCTAGTGAGTATCTGAGGCATGGTGCTCTATCCATTGTGCCACCTAGCTCCCCACACTGCTACCACAGGTCACCACCATAGGTGGCCCTTAAGGTCCGTTGAGCCTAAGATTTTATTAAATTAATAGCACAAACAGTGAGAATATTTAGCCAACGCAGAAGTTAAAGTCAGATGACTAACTTTAAGCACTTAGGAAACCAAACTGAGCATGACTACTTACGCTCAAGGAATGTATTCATTATAAACAGTAATCCTCCATGACTATTACTGTAGTTTTCACTACTAATAATAACAGCAGTTAAGGTCTCCTTACCTGACTGAATACTCTCAAACAACCTGTGAGGTGGCTAGCTGCAGTATGGTCATCCTCATTTTACAGATGAGGAAATGGAAGCTCAAAGACATTAACTAACTTGCCTGTGGTCACAGAGCCAGGTCAGAGTTCTCATTCACACAGGGCTTTAGAGTTTTAAGGTTACTTTAAATACAACATAAAATTCCATCTAGGTACAGTAAGTAATGTTATCTGCATTTTGAACATAAGAAAACTGGAGGACTTTGCATTTTACCTCCAGACCTCCAACCATGAGGTTCCCAAGGTCCTGAGTGGTGAGTGTCTCATTAGTGACCCCCTGAAGCACACCAGATCCTCCAGAGATGCTTGACTTTTCTCAGTTCTGCCATCTATACCCAAGAGAGGAAGTATGGCATAGTGGAGAGAGGGCAAGCCTTGGGTTCAAGTCCTCCTCTAATATACTCTGGGTATATGACCATGTGCAAGTCACTTAAACTCTTAGTACCCTGAGGTAATACTCTAAGACTGCATATTATAGGGGAGTTGCCCGTCTGTACCACTGGAGGAAATTCCTGTTCCAGGAGTTCTCCATATTTATGAAATCACAGAAACAGACTCCGTTCCAAAAGAAATGATGTGTATTTGTACATATGTAAGTACACAGAACCACTGTCTTGCTATCTCTATCAGGAAAGAAGATATGCACTAACACAGTCAAAATGGATAAAATATGTAATGTTACAATGACGAAGAGTATGTTCCCTAAGCACATAGGAGAGTAAACAACCAACCCAGCCCCCCACTTCTCTGCTCTTGAAACAATAGGTCAAGAGGTACAAACACACTTTGCCCATCAAAAGCAGACTTTCCCCTAAGCTTAGGGGAAAGAGAAGAATGCCTGGAAGAACATTCAAACATGATAAAATATTTAAATACCTGAACAAGTGTAGACACTCCAGTATAGTCAAAGAAGGTCAATCCAGTGCAATCCAGTATTACGGAACATTTTTCATTAGGATATGGCTGTGATGTTTCCCCTGAAGGAAGAACAAAGAGACAATTTGATGAGAATTTCCAAAGAAAAGAGTTCCAAACTTTCTAAAAACACAAGGAAATGATTATAACCTAATGTGTAATAATAATTGCATTATCAAATTTCTAAGGTGCTTTTACATGCTTTATATAATTAATATACCAAGTAAATAAAAATATTATGAAAGATAAAGAGGTTCACAGTTTCAGCCATAAACTTATTTTCCTCTTCTATTGTATATACGGGATTGTTCATTTCAGTTGGTGTTTGGTGGATTTGTTAAGATGAAGGCATCTACTTGGCCCAGTAGACACAGCACTAGAGTAAGGGAGACCTCAGTTCAAATCCTGCCTCAGATACTTACTTATTAGTTGTGTGACTTTGGGCAAGTCACTTAATTTCTGCTTGCCTCAGTTTCCTCATCTGTAAAACAAGGATCATAATGCACTTACCTAACAGGGTTGTTGTGAGGATCAAATAAGATGATATTTGTTAAACATTTTTGCAAACCTTAAAGCTAGTAAGTGCCTGAGATCAGATTTGAACTCAAGTCTTCCTAACCCCAGGTCCAGCACTCTATCTACTGTGCCACCTAGCCTAAATAATTATCAGAACATAACAATTAATAATATTAAAATAATTAATAATTATAGAATATTATAATTATGTTGTATTCTATAAGTATATATTATTTTAATTATATATATACATGGCTATATGTTACTTTATATTGTATATAATATATAAATATATAATATATAATTATATAAATATATAATATAAATTGTTTTAATATATAATTATATATAATACATGGTTATATATTACTATATATTATATATAATATACAAATATATAATAAATAATATAATTATATATACAGAAATATAAAATTATATAAACCCCTGGTAGGGGTTGGTGCTTACGTGAATTTATTTAATTCGTCTCACTGTTCATAGTATACCACCCACCCACCAGAAAACATTACCCTTTCCAATAGCAGCAGCAGCAGCAGCAGCAGCAGCAGCAGTAGTAGTAGTAGTAGTAGTAGTAGTAGTAGTAGTAGTAGTAGTAGTAGTAGTAGTAGTAATAGTAGTAGTGGTAGTAGCAGCAGCAGCAGCAGCAGCATTTATATAGCATCTACTATGTGCCTGGCATTGTATCAAGTACTTTATAAATATTACCTCATTTGAGTATAATCCTTCAGGGGAAAAAATGGATATTCAAATAGAGGACTTTCAAGCATTCTTGATGAAAAGACCAGAGCGGAATAGACAATTCGACTTTCAAATACAAGATTCAAGAGAAGCATGAAGAGGTAAACAGGAAAGAGAAATCATAAGGGACTTATTAAGGTTGAGCTGTTTACATTCCTGCATGGAAAGATGCTATTTGTGACTCACGAGACCTTTGTCAGGATTCGGGTAGTTGGAGGGAAAAAATATAAATTATACAAAGAGTGATTGATAGAGGGCACAGAGTGAGTTGAAAATGAAGAGGTGATATCTGGAGAATAAAATTAAGGGGTGAGAGGGGATTATACTGGGAGAAGGAGAAAAGGAGAGGTAGAATAGGATAAATTATCTCACATAAAACAGACAAGAAAAAGCTTTTACAGTGGCAGGGAAGTGGGAGAAGGTAAGAGGAAGTCAGTCAATCTTATTCTCATTGGATTTGGCTTAAGGAGAGAATAACATATACACTCAATTGGGTATGGAAATCTGTCTTACCCTACAGGAAAATAGGGGAGAAGGGGATAAAAGGGAGGGATAATAAAAGGGAGGGATAATAAAAGGTAGGGCAGGTTGGAGGAGGGGGTGAGCAAAAACACTTTTGAGGAGGGACAGGGTCAAAGGAGAGAACAGAATAAACGGGGAGTGGGATAGGATGGAGGGAAATATAGTTAGTCCTTCACAACATGACTACTATGGAAGTGTTTTATATGACTACACATGTATAACCTATATCAAATTGCTTGCCTTCTCAATGAGGGTGGGTGGGGAAGGAGAAAGGGAGAGAATTTGGAACCCAAAGTTTTAAAAACAAATGTTAAAAATTGTTTTCACATGCAACTGGGAAATAAGATATACAGGCAACAGGGTATAGAAATCTATCCTGCCCTATAGGAACATAGAAGGCGAAGGGGATAAGAGAAGGGGGCGGGGATAGAAGAGAGGGCAGATTAGGGGAAGGGGTTAATCAGAATGCACACCATCTTGGGATGGGGGAGGAAAGAGATAGGGAAAAATTTGGAACTCAAAATCTTATGGAAGTGAATGTTAAAAACTAAAAATAAATAAATTAATAAAATGATAAAAAAATTACCTCATTTGATCCTCATAACCCTGGAAGGTAGGTGCTAATATTATCCCTATTTTACAGATGAGGAAATTGAGGCAAAGGTTCAATGACTTGTCCAGGGTCACACAGCTAATATGTATCCGATGTTAGACTTGAACTCAAGTCAAATGGGTTTTCTTTAGTTTCCATCTTCCTTAATGTCTTTATAGCTTTAGATGCTGATGATCCTCTCTGTATACTCTTTCTTCTTCGCATTCTGGATTTTGGGCAATATAGCTCTCTCTAGTTCTTTTCCCACATGTATAATTGCTCCTTCCCAGTCTCTCCTTTGCTGGATCTGGTTTTTTTTTTTAATTTTTTATTATGGATTTAACAATTATGAACAAAAAAGTGTTGTGTATGAAATTGTGAACTTGTTATGTGTGGTTTGGTTGCTTTAAAGTGCATATAAATCTAAAATGATAGTACAAAAGTGCCCTGCTTATCTGCCCCTTTCGGACCTTCTGCTCTCTTCTATGTATCAATGCTTCACTGATCCTCTCGTATGTTCCTTTTCTGAATCACTCTCATTGCCCACCAATCCCCTCTTCACCACATCAACAAAAGCCCTCCTTTGTAACCTATACATATAGTCAAGCATAGCAAATCAATAGATTGACTACGTCTGTACAGGGCTGTCTGCACTTCTAATCTACTACCCCTCTGCCAGGAGGTGGGAAATATGCTTCATCATCAGTCTGAAATCATGATTGGTCACTACACTGATCAGAGCTTTTGAGTCTTTCAAAGTTGTTTTCCTTGATATACGTTAGTTCAGGATATCCTTCCATCCATCCATCTAACTGTTAGTGTTCCTTCTGTGCCGAGCCCTCTTCTTGTTTCTTTCTAAGTTTTCTCATTTGGTAACCTCATCAGCTCCCATGGATTCAATGATCATTATCTCTATGATTACTCTCTATGCAGATGACTCCCAGAGCTGTATATTCAGTCCCAGTCACCCAGTCTCCAGTCATATGTCACCAACTGTCTATATGGTCATTGCCAACTGGATATCTTGTAGGCATATCAAACTCAACATTTTCAAGATAGAACTTACTATCTTTTCCCCAGAACCTACCCTTCCCCTGAACTTCACTATTTCTTTCTGG